TTATCTTTCACTTGCTTGGAGAAAATACCATTGAAACCCCTCTATTTTACTGTTTTTTTGTTTGTTTGTTTCTTTGGTTTTGTTTTATTTGTAGGAGTTGGGATAATGAGATGTACTCTCACTCTGTAGACTAGGCTGGTCTGGAACTATGTCCAGGTCAGCTTTCAACTCAGGTAACTCCTCTGCCTCAGCCTCCCGACTACATGAGCAAGCCACCATGCACGTCTTCAGTACTCAGAAGACAGCACAGCAATACATACACATGAATACTGGGCATTACAGTGCCACACATATGGACACTGGGCATTATGGTGTCACACACAACAGACACTGGTCATTACGGTGTCACACACACAGACACTGGCCATTATGGTGTCACATACACAGACACTGGGCATTACAGTGACACACACATGGACACTGGGCATTGGCTAACCTGGAACTCACTCTGTAGATCATGCTGGCCTTGAAGTCATAGATATCTGACTACCTCTGCCTCTGGGATTAAAAGTATGCACTTAGCTCAAAACACACGGATCTGTAACTTGAACCCAAGAATATGTAACTCTGGGCCATTATATTTTCTTTTTTATCACTGCTACTACTCAGGAAATTTATAGTAAAAGTTCCTAGCCAGCCTGGCCCCACTTTCCTTAACAAATCAAGTTACTATGCATTTGTGCTCACCCTGTGTCTAAAGCTTTGATGGTTTGTATGCATCCAATTGCCTGTCCCTCCACAAAATAGATTATTAGATACCTGACATGTCCTTGGCCGTATGCTGGGCACCGAGGCTGTATTGGTAAGTAAAAAAGAGATCTATAGGTGCTCTAGACAAAGGAAAGCCATCAACTAAGTAGTGACATGTGTCAGTACAAAAAAAATCATGTGTTAAAAGTTAGGATGGATTTAGTAGCTTGTAACGTCTAGCCTGGCAAAGATGCTCATTGGTAAAACAGTGGTATGAGTTTTGGGAATAACCAATCACTTTCTCACTGGATTTAAGGCTCATGGCCATAAACCTGTAGCTATGGAGATAATGAATCCAAGAAGAGAACCTTCTACAACTATGTTGCTAAATGGGTATGACTGTCTTTTAAACATTAAGCTTTACCCCGTAGGTAAGTGTAGTGCTCAGAGAAGTTTCTTTTTGCAGTGCACAGTGGTTAATACAGAGACTCAAGAACTGGTCAAAGTGCAGAGAACACGTGTCTGTGGATTGCTCAGCCCCAAACAGGACAGGTATTTCACACTCAGGGACCACCATGGATAAGGACGGTGGGAAGTACTGGTTTGAGGGTAGACTGCTGTGAAATGCTGGCCCCTGGCTATGACAGGGCCACTGTACTTATAACTCACAGCAGCTGTGGTTACCTGCACAAGACTAAGATAGCCAGCATCCCGACAGATGGAGGAGGGGCTCATGGTGACACACCCCTGCCTGAGGCACTGCTGGCAGCTGCTGGCCGCTGGGGTTAGAGTCGGATTGTTTTTTTCTCTAGGAGTGTGGCCTCTTAGAAATATACATATTGCATACAGTAGGAAATTCTCAAATAATGAATAAAAAGTTACATTAAAATTTAAGAAGTAAGCAGCTCTAGGTCTGAAACTTAACAGCATTTAAAATGCTTTTATGACTAATTATAATGGTCAAAGAAAGTTCTTATGAGAAAAACATGATCTGGAGAATAAACAAAATTATGTAGGTGTGGAAGACTATTCAGAATAAAGCATATGCAGAAGTCCAAGGTAGGAGGATGTCCGACCTGGCAGAAGGGTGACAGGTGTGGATGTAACAGAGCATTGGGGTCAGGAACAGTTATACTTGGCTCAGCAGGAGCAACAGGAAGCTAGTGGCTGGTTTTAAGAAAGGGATTAACATGATCAGATTTACATTTTATTTTATTTTTTTTTAAGATAGGGTCTCATTTAGTCCAAGTTGGCCCAAATTATGTAGATGAAGATAATCTTGAATTCTTCATCTTCTCAAGTGGTGGAATTACAGAATTGGGCTATCACACCCAGCTTTAGATTTCTATTTTCCAAAAGCTCATGCTAAAATGAGGATAGAGACTGTGAAGGAAAGAGTAGACATAGGAAGAACAGTTAGGAGGCCACAGAGAGGTGCAAGCAAGACACAGAAGAGATCTTAATCTAAAAGGTAAAAGCAGAAATGAAAATAAACAAATGGATCTGAGATACATTTTGGAGTGTTAGATATCAGAATCTAGTAATGATTTGCATTTCACTGTGAAAGAGAAAATCCAGAGATGACTCAGGTGTAGAATTACCACAATCAAAATGAAAGAAAATATTAAATGATCATGGCCAAACACAATGACATGTTCTTTTAATACTAGCACCAAGGAGGCTGAGGTAGAGGCAGAGGCAAGTGGATCTCTTTGAGTTCTCTTTTGTGTTTTAGGCCAGCCTAGTCTACACATTGAGTTCCAGCTAGCCAGGCTTGTATAGTAAGACCCTACTGAGAGGACGGAAGAACGAGAATAGATGCAGTATGACTGGGGAGGGAAGAGAGAAGCCATGTGTACTCCGCTCTGTTTACTGCCTTCGTCAAGCCTTTAGCATTACATAGTCATCAACGAGGCAGTAAGTAAGAGTCCAGAGCAGATGAGATGAGTGCTCACCACTAAGGCTGATGGCCTGAGGTGGATCTCTAAGTTCCACAAGTGAACTCTACTCATTTACAATGGCATGAATGTGTGCCCTTCAATAAATAATAACAACAGCAGTAGTAATAATAATTAGATATGAGTCCAGAACTTTAAAGAGAAGCTGAATTTAAAGTGAATTTCTGATTATGTTAGAAGAAATGATAAGCCACTGGAACATATGAAATCACCTGACAAAAGCAAAGAAGATGTAGGCTTAGACTTAAGGAATTCCAACATCTGATAAATTTGGAGAAAAAAAAATCTGTAGAGATTAATTAGAGTGACCAGTGAAAACAGAGAGGACTTGAGAGGACATGACGCCACAAGGCCAGGGACAAGACGATTTTAAAAATAAAAAGTTGCAGACAGGTCAAATCAAAAAGATTTCTGAAAGTCCCTGGGCTTAATGACATGAAGATTGCCACTGAGCTGAATAGGAAATACTGCAGTAGGTGGCAGAAGAGGAAACGGTGTCCAGGTAACAAAAAAGGAGCAGAAAATGTGGCTGATCTAAAAGTGAAAATAAGCAGACAGGGCGCAATCAGGAGGGAGGGCGGAGACCAAGAAAGTTACATTTGGACCGAAAACAGACACAATGCTATAAAGTGTTACCAATTCTTCACTTGCTACACAGGATCCTGAGAAAGGTGGCTCCCGCTGGCTGAGCAACCTGAGTCAAGTCTTTACAGAAAAATAAAGAGTCAAGCAGAGATTTACCACAGTATAGAATGGAGTACACTGAGAAATACTACACTGAGGAACAGAACATGAAAATGCACCATGCAACTGTGGGGTAGGGATAGTAGAGCTAAATTTTTTTTGTAAGTTTTCATTTGTAAATAGAGAAAAGAAGTTTCTAGGCAAAATTGCTCTGTAACACTGTAGAAGAAAGCAGGAAACTTTCAGTCAGATACCTATGTATACCTAAGACAGGGATGTTTTGCTTACTTGCGGGCTATAGTATAATCTTCATTTTCTACAAGTAAGCGGTAAGATATGCGACAACAAAATTTAGATTTCTGACCTACTTAGAGGTAAACATATTTGTCTCACAAACATAACTGTTACATATAAAACAATTTAATAAGTCTCTTATAAGCCCAAGTATATTTTTATATTATATCTTATCTTATAAGCAGAAAGAAAATAAAGAGAAAGTAAATGAGAAGAGTAAAGTAAATTAGAAACAGAGTGAAGAATCAGAGAACCAATACGGGCAGATAGAGAAGACAGATGAGGTCTGTGATGGGCGATCTACTAAGAACTCTCCAGACCCACTGCCTTCCTTCACTGTGTCTATATATATACATATAAGAACTCTCCAGTCCCCACTGCCTTCCTCCACTGTGTCTATATATATACATATAAGAACTCTCCAGTCCCCACTGCCTTCCTTCACTGTGTCTATATACATATAAGAACTCTCCAGTCCCCACTGCCTTCCTTCACTGTGTCTATATACATATAAGAACTCTCCAGTCCCCACTGCCTTCCTTCACTGTGTCTATATATATACATATAAGAACTCTCCAGTCCCCACTGCCTTCCTTCACTGTGTCTATATATATATATACATATAAGAACTCTCCAGTCCCCACTGCCTTCCTTCACTGTGTCTATATACATACATATAAGAACTCTCCAGTCCCCACTGCCTTCCTTCACTGTGTCTATATACATACATATAAGAACTCTCCAGTCCCCACTGCCTTCCTTCACTGTGTCTATATATATACATATAAGAACTCTCCAGTCCCCACTGCCTTCCTTCACTGTGTCTATATATATACATATAAGAACTCTCCAGTCCCCACTGTCTTCCTTCACTGTGTCTATATACATACATATAAGAACTCTCCAGTCCCCACTGCCTTCCTTCACTGTGTCTATATACATACATATAAGAACTCTCCAGTCCCCCTCTGCCTTCCTTCACTGTGTTTATATATAGCCGAGACAAAAGAACTCCAAGCCAACTGTTCTTCTGCCTGATCATGCCAGTGGTATTATCTGTGCTCCAGCAAGCTTTCTTTCCCAGGAGTCTCCTATTCAATAGCGAACTTGACATCAACCTGGTATCCAGTGTTCTAGGTTACTTCCTGAACTTAGTTATTCAAAGAAAAGCAAAAGCAAAATGAAACCCACTCACACTTGGATCTGCTAAACTAAGGCCCCTGTGATAAAAATGAGAAGTATGTTTATAGAACACTGGCCTCTGTGGGAAGACTGATGGATATAATGTAAGAAAATATTTTTAAAGTTAATGAAATCAAACAAGGCGGGGAAGATCCAGATTCAGATGATGAACCATACTTATAATCTTCTTACTGTATGCCGAGGACCATCTTCATTCTCCCGCATGTAGAAGGGCTTGAGTTCTGATGGATAGTTAATGACAAAGACTGGTGTGTTGCCACAGTGTCTCACCAGATACTTCTCATGTTCAGTTTGTAGATCAACACCCCACTGCAACGAGAAACAAGAAGAAAGGGCTACAATACACATATAAAAACAACCTGTACCAATTCCAAGGGCTCTCTGCCCTTGGGGCTCAATGATGTGTGCAGCTGTCTGCCGAGGTCACACAGCTGACTAAACCAAAGAGGAATGCCTGCAAATAAGAACAGCGAAAGGCCTGGAAAGATGAAAGCTGAAATCAGTAGATAAACACTATTGTTTCTGTGCCCCCTCTCAGGGAGTAGCCATCAGCAAGCACAGTACAGGCAAGAAAACAAAACACTTTCCAAAAGGATAAAACTGATGCAGAGTTATGGCATTTTTATTAATATTGCCTAGAGCTTCTTCCCTAGTTACTATTCCTAAGTCTCAGGAAATTAAATGATGGGCGATAGCACTTCTAATACTGAGCCTGTCTTTAGCAAGACTGCTTTTCTCAGTGAACTTCTATCTTAATAAAAGTCAATTCCTATGCCAAGGTGTTCTTTGATTATATGTAGTAATACTATTTAGTCTATTTATTTAGTAAATACTACTGTGACTATTAAATTCCAGGTAGCATTTTAAGTACTGGATATGGTAGTTAAAAAAAAGAAAAAAAAAACCAAAAACCAAACATCATCAAACAAATCCCAAAATGGTATCATTCTTGACATCATGAAGCTTGATAGAAATTATCAAAGTAAAAATTACATAAAGAACTAATTGACTTTAAAACCAACAAGTGCTGCTGGCTGGTGGTACACACCTACAATGCCAGCCATTGGGAGGTAGATGCAAGATCAGCATCATCCATAACACAGGAAGTCTGAGGCCAGCTTGACTGCATGAGATCCAGCAAAGAAGCTCCAGTTACTGATGAATTGCATTGAGAGTACATAGTAGCTTGAGATGGGACTACTGTAAAGGACTGTTTAAAGGCATATGTAGCACGTCATATTACCTTACTATTCCCACAAGTCTGGCAATACCTTTCACCCCAAACACTTTAAACAAGAAGTTTAAACAAGATGGGGAATTAGGGAAAACTATTTTAAATTCATTACCTTAAGAGTAGTTCTCCTACTTAAATATAGATTGGCCTGCATATAATGGTTATAGATAAACAAAAATTATAAAACTGCCCCTGATTTTATAAAGGCAGGTAGAAAAAAAAAAAGACAATTCTCCAATTCAGGCACATTACTGGGTTTTTCTGTGGAGGTCAGTGTGACCTTGTTCTCAGTGTTGACTTCTCAGCTGTTTCATTGGCCACAGGAAACACAGGGGTCTCCGGTATGTTTGTATGCTACAGACCAACAAGAGGCATCAGGTCTGCACCAAATGAGCATACAAATAACTCAACTGGAAGATACAGCTGAATGAACATGCCACTCATAGAGAAAGGAAATATATCACACAATCAAGCATTTTTCCCTACCATATTTCCATTTGGTGTCAATCAAAACATCCACTGGCAATTTAATTAAGAAAAAAAAAGCAACATACACCAGTTACATTATATGTAATAAAGGAATGGTAATGAAGAAAAAAAAGTAAAAAAGAATAAGAAAACATTATTCACCCAGGCAGTGATGGCGCACGCCTTTAATCTCAGCACTTAGGAGGCAGAGTTCAAGGATAGCCTGGTCTTCCAGGATGGCCAGGGTTACAGAGAGAAACCCTGTGTGAGAGGTGGGGTGGGAGAGACAGCATTTCTAGACTCCAGCCAGGGACGCAGTTATGCTAACTGAAGATCGCTACCTCTCCCCCAGCTCCCCTAACACCAATCCTCCAGTCCTATCCCCAAGCTCTGGACGACCCGAGAACGACCCGCTGCAGCCACACCACACTCTCCAGTGGGTCACACATATCTCTCACTTCCAACTCATTACTTTATCCCAGCCTGCAAACCTAGTAGGCACTCCCTGGGAACCCACAGGTCATTCCAGCCAGGAATGTAGGCAGGCTAACTGTGTATCTTCGCTTTTCTCTGTTCCTCCAAATTAATCCCCCAGTCTCAGCTTGTAACAGACTACTTGCTGTGGCCTCTCATTGCGCTCTCTGTCTCCATTCCTAGAGGACTAAGCAGATCCTGGTGGAACATACTGCTTTCCTCTCTCCTGTGGATTCCCTCAGCCCCATCCCCAGATCATCCCCCATTCCTGTGTCAGCTCTCGATACCTAGAAAACACATTTTACCTGGAACCCTCAGTGGCCACAGTTATCAGGATCCCTGAAGAAAAAAACACTCACCCAACAAAGACAAGACCAGATATCATCAGCAAGAATTACAATTTTCCCAAACGCAGATGGCTACATGCCAATGAAAAAACACATTAATAACAACCACAACAACACGTCTCCACTAGAGCTCAGAGCAGGCCTGAGTATTTTAGCATAGCTGAACCATATGACAAAGACTTTATGAAAAAGACAGATGATCTTAAAGAGAGAAGGAAAAAAATCCCTTAAAGAAATCTACAAACATACTAACGAACAGCACAAGGAAAAGAATAAAACAGTTCAAGACCTGAAGGTGGAAATAAAATCAATAAAGAAAACCAAAACTAAGGAAATGAAAAATTTAGGAATGTAACAGGATCCTCACAGGCAGGCCTCATCAACAGAATAGAAGAGATGGAGATGAGAATCTCAGGCACTGAAGACATGGATATGAAAATGCTATAACTGAAACTGCCAAATAATGGGGGAAGGGCAGGGTCCCAACTGGCTATCTTTTGTCATCAAATGAAGCTTCTAGTACTGGGTTTAGGTTACATCTAATTGTGCTGTTGGTCAAGGGGGTCTCATGGGAATCCCCAAATAACCCAGATTAGTGCCTAGACTATCAGTTGCTCTCCACAAACTGATGGCAATGCCCGACTGCTTAAGACAACACTTACACAACTCACCGAATGTGAAGAAGTCGGGCTGCTGTACATAAAGAACTTTCACCTCTAATTTCTGTCATCTTTGGTATAGAAAGATACTCTGAAAGCTACCAAAACAAACAAACAAACAAACAAACAAATACATAAATATAAGTCCAACCATAAACCCTTGGATTGACAATGGTGTCCTGCCTGCAAGATATGCTAACTCAATGGTGGCACAAAGCTTTCTGGAGTAACCAACCAATATCTGATTTGACTGAAGGCCTACTCCACAAGCTGGGACCTATACTTGACACTGTTTGATGACCCAAAACCTGAGACTAAATAGCCCAGGGATCTAGGGTAAAATATTACTGGTCTTTAAAAAAGGTAGCAATAAAATGACTCCTAATGACATTCTATACTCATAAGTCAGTCCTGCAGGAGATGGGAACAAATACAGAGATCTACAGCCAGCCACCATACAGAAGCCTTGGAACACTCAGGCTATGAGGTATCTCCATCAAATCCCAGCCCTCAGGGCTCAGGGAACCTTGCAGAAGAGGAGGTGGAAAAAGTGTAAGAACCATAGAGGATGGAGGACTCCAAGAAAAGAAGGTACTCTAAACCAACAGGATCAAAGCCCCTACGAACCCAGAGACTGTAGCAGCATGCACAAGGTCTGCACTAGTTCCCAAGTGTACAGATTATGGCTTCTAATTTAGTGTTTTTATGTGAGTCCCAAGAGTGTGAATGAGTGAGTCTCTGTTTCTTCTCTTGGACTCCTTTCCTTCTGTTTATTTGTTTTGTCCAGTTTCAATATATTAGTTTTTATTTTATCTTATTATGTATCATTTTAATATTATCTCTTAGAAATCTTTATAATGGGAGACAGAAAGGTACGGATCCAGGTGGAAGGAAAAGCGGAGAGGAACTGAGAGAAGTAGAGGAGGGGAAACCATGATCACAATATTATATGAAAAAAATCTAGTTTCAATTAAAGGAAAAAAAGAAAAAGAAATCATTATTGTAGTATATGGTGGAACCAAATTGAAGTTCCTGAGAATGTATTCTTGGTCCATAGAAAAAAACAGGTCTGGACACCTCCTGCAGTCTGTATCACACACAGAGCGTGCACCCCTGCAGTCTGTGTCACACACAGAGCGTGCACCCCTGTAGTCTGTGTCACACACAGAGCGTGCACCCCTGCAGTCTGTGTCACACACAGAGCGTGCACCTCTGCAGTCTGTATCACACACAGAGCGTGCACCCCTGCAGTCTGTGTCACACACAGAGCGTGCACTCCCGCCCCCCACTTACAACCGCTCCCATGAATCCATCTCCCTGGATCTGTTGGATGGGAATCTGATCTGTTGCAGTGATAACCAGTCACTCATAATAGGCTTTCATTAGTTACTAGGTTGTGTGTATCAGTTTAATATGTTGCCCAAATATATTTAACCCTATAACTTTTGTCTACCAGCTTTCAACATTATTTAGAATATACATGTGGAAACACTGAACTACTTCATTTCTAGTAATAATCTACGGTTATCATTTTTCCTTTTGAATTTTCATCTTGCTAAACTCAGTACACTCCTTTAAAGCCTTTAATTATTCCTATTCCAAATGATAGAATTCTCTTCTAAAATCATTTTTATTGCCACGCATGATGGTGTACACCTTTAAGCCTAGCACTTGAGAGGTAGAAGGCAGTGGATCTTTGAGTTCCAGGCCAGCTTAGTTAACATCATGTGTTCCTGGTCAGCCAGGGCTTCATAGTGAGATCATCTCAAAGTTATCCTCAACCATGTTCAACAAAAACTCACTAAGTCTATGCACGGTTCCACAAATACTTATGTCACTAATAACACACACACACACACACACACACACACACACACACACACACACACAATTACCTTGGGTGTAAAGGTGAAGTTCTGGGATGCTTGCTTTAAGATCTCAATTGCTTCCGTATAAGAAATGCTAGGAGAAAACAACACAAAAGTGAAGAAAGGTTAACACAGAAGAAGGATTTTATACAAGGTCAGTTTAAACCAGAAAAAAAGCAAACCAATTCCAATATAATCTGTGAGGCCCTGAGTGAGTACCAAGTAATCAGGAGTTGAGGCTGACCTAACCTTATGGAAATGAGATGGCTCTGCATGAAGAGAGTGGCTGTCCCACTCCTGACCGGCATGCAATAGGCACACGAGTCACATCAGGAAGCAGAGCTTCTCAATATCCATGTTGTGCCAACGTTCTACTAGAAGGTATGAAATACTGAGGCTCAAAGAACAAAAGGCCTTTCTAAAAGGTATCAATTATTTATTCATCTAGCAAACATGTATGTCACAGCTACTAGACGCTGAGCATTATTCTAGGTACTGGAAAATGATATAAACAAAATAAAGCTTCTGCCTTCTTGGAGCCAAGATATATGTGTGGAGATGTGGGGCAAATTAAACAAATAATAATAGTGACAGATAACTATTAAGAAGAAAAATACAGTAGGGCAGGTGTCTGGGTGCTATTTTAGAGGACATATTCAGGAAAAGCACTCTGAGTTGGTGACTTCTGAAGAGAAACCTACATCAGAAAACAAACAAACAAAAAAAGAACTATATAAATAACTGGGAGGAATATGGGCAAAAAGGACCCAAGTACAGGGCCTTCTGTGAGGAACAGACTGTAAGCACTGAAGGAACAAAAAGGTCAGTGTGACTGGAGCACACTGAGCAAGGGGGAAATCCCAGGAAATGTGGTGAGAAGAGCAGTTAGATCATGAGCACTTCCTCAGGCCTTGGTAAAGGCCTTTGTAACATATCCTAAGCATCCTAGGACTAACTGTTGAGTAAACCCAGCGTTGGTTTTCTCATTAAGACACGTTTGATTGGGGTTTCCGGGGTGGGTGGGGGATGGGGCAAGGGGACAACATAGGAAATGTAAATAAAACATCCAATAAAAAAAAAAAAAAGACACGTTTGAAGCCTAACGTGAAAGAGCTCCATTGCACGGGCATGCACAGCTAAAAGCGGAGGTAGGACTGCTTAAGCCCAGGTATTTAAGGCTAGTCTGAGCAACAAAGGGAGATGGTTAGAGAAGAAGGAAGGAAAGGAAGAAAGGGAGGGAGGGAAAATAAAAGCACATATATCTCCTGCCTTGTTCCACAGCCACTGAATTCATTTCTTCTCATGTTTTAAATTTTACTTTATGTTGTATTTATGGCCCTCTGTGTGTGTGTGTGTGTACGTATGTATACCACCTGTGTGCTGATGACTATGGAGGATACAAGAAGGCAGTGGAACTCTGGAACTGGAGTTATAGATGGTTGTGAGTCACTATGTGTGTGCTGAGAATTGAACCTGGGTCCTTTTGTAAGAACAGCAAGTGCTTTAAATTTCTGAGAAATCTTCCCAGCCCCTCCTCTTAATACTATATGCACTGTTGTTACTACCTGTGTACTCTTTTAGGAGATTATGAATAAATATGTGAATATTTATAACACCTATTTTTGTAACTATCAGAGCATCTATCATATACACTTTTACTCAAGATTGAATGTTATCGATCATTGTATTCTGATGAAGACTTTATTAGACAAGGTCTCATGCGGCCCTGGCTAGCTGAAAGTAATCCTCAACTCCTGATCCTCCTGCCTCAACTTCCTGAGCACTGGGATTACAAGCAAATGCCACCACAGGCAGTTTTATGTGATTCTGAGGACCAAACATGATGATGTTCTTTACGCTTGTGAGAGAAGCTCTCTACCAACTGAACTACATTCACTGCCAAAACCTGTTTTGAAACAGGGTTTCTCTGTGTAGCCCTGGCTGTCTTAGAACTCTGTAGACCAAGCTGGCCTCCAACTGAGAGATCCACCTGCTTCTGCTCCCATGTGCTGAGATTAGAGGGGTGTGCCATCACCACTTGGCAGGAACTTCATTTTTTGAATTAAAATGTAACATTCTAAGTATATTTTTGTGTGTGCGTGTGTTTATTTACTTTAATTACTCATTAATGGTATTTCAGATGTTTTCAATCTTTTGCTACTATAAATCATGACTAAACACCTCTCTAATACATATGAGAAAATAGGATTATTGGCTCAAAATATAATTTTTATGTATTCTGAAGTATACTGCCAAATTTAATGGCCTCCCTTTCACAAGATCGTAAAAAAATGTACACATACCAGAAGCATATGAACATGTTCGTAGCAAAGAAACACCAGTTTCCTTGTAAATTATAAGAAAAGATATCAAGACAGTATTCTGGATGATTTTTTTTTTAAAATCTACAAAGCTTTCTGAAGGACCCTGAACTCAATCTACCCGGCACAAACTTATGCTCTGAATTTCATACTTATACAAATGAACTAGAAAATGTTTCTACTGTACAAATAAAGCCAGCTCCCTAAGCCATATTTTGAGTGACAGACTTTGTTCTAGAGCGAACATTCTATTCCAATTACACTCTGCATTTCTAAGGAGACAGTGGTGCTGGTGGGTTGTGGGAGTGAAGATTTCAGACGAGTACTGTGCAGAAGGGAATCTGAAGCGCAGGGAGAATGTGAGCAACTTGCTGGAGGTCTCGTAGGTAAAGTAAGAGGCCATCTGCTGACTCAGCCCCTGCTTTCAATGGCTACGATCGTGTCTAATCATTACATCTGTGTGTTCCACCAGAGTAAGAGTCACAGGCACTGTGTTCTTCTGACGGCACTACTTAGTAACACCAATTGCTTTGACTTAAAACATGATTAACCTTACAATGTGGTAAGTACAGTCAAAAGTTAAGTATTTGTACATGAAAAATAGCTTGTCCTTAGACAGTCTATTGTTCTAATCCATCAATTACTTTGTATGATCTACCAATTACACTGAGAAATGTTAAGAAGCAGTAGTTTTTATACAGTTATTATTGTTTCATTATGAAGAAATAACAATTCAAAACACATCTTCTGGGGATAATGATCTCCTCCATTTCCCCTCATCCCTACTCCCCCCTAATTAAAGCATGGCTTTCAAGTTCAGATTACAGTTCTGATACTGTATATCCTTAATGGGCTTCTCAAAGTCTCCCTAAATATGTTTCTTGATATGCATAAAGGATATTTCTTTGCCTTTCAAGAAACTGTTTCCAAAGTACTCGAGGAAAAAAAGGAAAAGCACTGTGATTTGTTTAGTTTACTTTGGGAATCTAATCATGTATTAGCATACTCACTATGGTAGTTGATATGGGATATTATTTAAGTACTCTAGAGGTGATATGGTAGATGGCTCTGGGTTATATGCAAGCAATATGCCATTTTATAGAGGGCCTTAACCATGCAGATTTTAGTATATCTGGGGTTCTGGGAACAAATCTCCAGGGACGCCAAGGGATGACTATGTAAGATATGAATTTTAGTAATACAAACCACAATTTCTATATTTTTTTTTATCTTACTATGATTCATGACACATGGGTTATCAACTATGAGCTAAGTATAAGAGCAGTAAAAATAGTTAGGATATGGGTCTTGCCTGGATCTGGTATGATAAACACAGAGATATATTAACAAAAATTATAACTCAATGTGATACAGTAGTTGAGTATGAGCAAAATCCAGAAAAATTATAATATCTACTTACATTATGAAGTTGTTTTTTAGCATATGTTCTAGTCTGCCCTTGATAAGACAAAAGAGAACAGTTTACATGTAATTATATTCATTATATATAATTAATATACTTAAAGAGCTATGTATTCAGCTGTATCTACAAGCTTATTACCTTCTGGCCAGAAGCTATGAATTGGTGACACAGTTCAACATCTTCAGGACAGTGTGAGAGAACCATCTCAGTGGTTGCCTTGAAGAGTTCCTCCATGACCTAAAAGGAATGAGACACAACTGACTGAGCTGCAGTTTTACATAAAATCCCCAAGGCTTCAGGGATTGAAGGACTTTCCTCTAGCTTCCAGCAACTAAAAATCCATTAAGCTTGCTAATCCCTGACTGTATTACAGTGACTCAGATCAATATCGGTATTGAAATGAGTTGTCAAATGAACAGCTATCATTGACTGAAAATGTCTCTTTACTTATTAATGAACTCACTTGCAGAATTAAGACAATCATAGCACCTCATTCACAGGACTGTTGTGAGAATTATAAGGTTCAGAGAAATATACATGACATTAGATTTTGTGAAGAGAGAACTTTTTGTGAAGTAGTTGGGTCAGTCAATTGAGAGGAAACTTGAAAATTTGAGAAGCAACAACATGGATCTAAACAATAATTATATATATCTTTTTTAAACATATAAAATATAAATTAGTACATGAGAATTAATTCTATCAAGCATATGTAAGACTCATAGGTGACATGTTTTTCTTAGAAGAAAGCAATAACTAGAATGAAAAATATTTCTGAAGTATTTTATTTGTTTAATTACTTCTATCTTTTGAGACAGGGTCTCAGCAGCCCTGGCTGGTCTGGAACTCACTATGTAGCTCAGGCGGCTCTTGAACTCACAGAGAGGACTGGGATTATTAATGTTGCCATCACACCCAGCTAAGAGTTTGAGTTTCTAAGTTATCAATAACATAAATAGTAACAACAACTAGTTTGGGGGATAGAAAAACAAGAAAAGTCCAAAAATGAAGTAAGAATAAAGAAAAGTTGAAGGGACTAGATAAAACCAGGCCAAAGTGTTCGAAGGGCTTTGTATTCTATGGGAGAGGAGAGACTGTAGTGTCAGGGAAATGTTAGTGATCCCCCAAAACAGACAGGAGCCGATCTGATACAACTCACAGCAGGGCCTTTATTCTAATCGAGGTAGCTCAGGCTCCTCCCCAATGCACCACCATCACACAGGGTGGTTTTAGTGGGAAGGGGAGCTCCAAATGTCTATGGGGCAAGACTTTATAGTAAATGCTAATCTTGTTGGAGATGAGCCTAGAGACTGGAGATAGGCTCGGGTTTTGTTGTGAGGCAACTTGGAATCTAATGCTAGGTACCAGCCTGTTAGTTTACCTGAGTTCAAACTTAGGTCATTTTCTCTAAACTGGAGTCTGAACTTGAAAGCTTTGTCATCTTGAGACAGTTAACTATCGACGGAATATAAAAATCTAAACTGTTGATATGCATAGGGCTGGAGTATGGCTTAGCTGGGAGAGTGCCTGCTTAGCTCCCTTACACTGCATAAACTCAATAGCGTGGCAGTGGCAGTTATGCCTATAACCCTGGCACTGGAGAGCGAAGGCAGGGGCAAGAGTTCAAGATCATTCTAGGATATACGAGATCCTGTTTCAAAATATACAGAATGCTTACATTCTAAAAGAAAAAAGAACAGTAGACCAATCCAGTGGGGAGGGAGTAGAGTCAGGGGACTTGAAAGAAGAGGAACAACCAATCAGTGATGAAAGTGGGACAGGAGCGGCTGGACTGCATGGTCCTTCTAGACTGTGGGAGAACAAGTCTTTGACCACTTGGGTTGTTAACTGCTGTCTTACAAGTAAAATATTTAATTTGAAGATGGAAATCCTAGCCCTCTATCCCAAACTCTGGCTTTCAGACTAGGTTCTATAAACACATCTGACAAAACCAAGAACTACAATAAGGGGTAAGTATAAGATGTTTATAAAAATTACTAAAATGGTCTTTGATAATTAATTACTTATAATTCATGAATAAAAAATTTTTATAACCTCAGAGTCAAACCTAAAAAGCACTGGAAGAAAAGGAGAAGCAGAAGGTTACTTTTTTTCTGTCTTTAGAAAAAAGATTTCTATTTTGAGTCATTCAGCAATATATGCCTGAATACCACTAGTGGAGTTAGTTAAGTAGCAAATCTGCCACCCAAACTTAAATATTCTCTTTTACTATTGAGTTTTATGATTATAGTTAACGCGTGACTGTGTCAGCATGTATGTGCCACAGTCTATGGTAGACAGAGGTCAGAGGACAGCTTTCACAAGCTGGCTCTCTTTTTCTTCTGAGGTTCCTGGGCTTGAACTCCAACGGGACAACACAGCCAAGTGCTTTATCCATTCTGAGCCATCTTGCTGGTGCAGAGACCTCAGTCTTACCCAATCACAGTACTTAGCTGTTATTGGCTGCGTGACCAAGACTCACAAAATCAGAGGTCTTTTTGTGCAATTATGAAGGAAACTGCCCATATGAGTGTTCTTCTTTTTATTTTTATTTGTTTTTAATTATGAGACAGGGTCTTTAAGATTTAATTTTTATGGTGATTGTTGCTCTGTCTTTTGGAATCAGCCTCTCTTTGTGTCTTAGATTAGCCTGGCTCTTATAATCCTTCTGCCTTCACCTCTTACATCAAGGACGATATATTTGTGCTATCATATCCAAACCTAAATTGGCAAATTTATGTTCACCATAGCTAAAACCCTTTCTCTGTGAATGATAATGCTAAGAGAGTGAAAAGCCAAACTGACAACACTAGGAGAAATACTTGCAAATTATGTATCTGAAAAAGCATGTGCATTTGAAAATGAATAAATTCAAAGCTCAACAATAAAGGACCAGGTGTGGAGGAGCACATCTTCCCAGCATTCAGGGAGTGGAGGGGCAGAACACCTGAGTTTAAGGCTATCCAAGGCTACACAGTGATGCTATCTCAAAAAAAAAAACAAAACCATCAAAGCTCAACAAGAAGAAAATAAACAACTTGACCAAGACTAGAAATTGATGGCTACTGGGCAGAATGAAAAGATGTTTACACAGAAAGCCTCAAGATACATTGGGGAAATACAAACTAAAACCACAGCTTGATGATGGTGCACAGCTAATAGAATCGCACATATTCATTCATTAGTGCGTATCTGTCTGTCTGTCTGTCTCTTTCACAGACTCACGGATACAAGCACATCCTTGACTAAGTACTAGTGCTAAGTAGACACACTGGTCTTTACATATTGCTTACAGGAATGTAACACAGTACAGTCACCCGGTAAATCAGACAGATTCCTGAAAAAAACTAAACATCAAACTTAGATCTCACCACCTCACTCCTTGGACCTCACCCGAGAGAGATAAAAACTATGTTCTCACAGAACCTGCACTGGAATGTATATAGAACCTTTTTCATTGCTTCCCAAGACAGAACTAACGCAAATGTTCTTCAGTACAAATGGCAAATGATTGTGGTGCACCTGTGTCAGGGAACTACCCAGACAACAGGAGAATCTGATATATAGTACACAAAGAGGCAGAAGACAGCCAGATATGCACACACTAATGTTCGCATGACAGTCTGCAAAGAGAAAATTACTCAAGAGAGATTGGGAAGATGAGCAGTTGACAGTGGGAGGAGTTAGAATGCAAGGCAGCAACAAGTCGGAGCTGTTTTGTAAGAGCAAATTGTTCTTTATTTTGACTGCAGTCATAGTAACAGAGGTGGATATATGCCTTAAAACTTAGAGTTTACATGAATGTGATACTAATAAAACAGACATAAATCAAAACTGTCAAAGGAAGCCACTGTCTGTTTCTCAGAGTGTCAGAAGAGTTGCCTCCTCATCCAAAGCTGGATACACAAGCTCATCCCTCTGGGGTCATCTGACCTTGTTTACTACTCTTGGCAGAAGGGTGGTAATACTCTGGATAAAATAACTGCTGCTATGGTTCACATTATTCTTGGACATTTAGCATTAGTACTTAAAAATCCATCAGCTAAAATATCTATAAACAACTTTAACAACAGAGATTGAATGAATGAGAGAAAACAGAAGAACGGAATAATGATACGCTCAGATATGTTTTAAATGTTTTCACATTTTTAAAAAGATTTTTTTTATTTTATATGTATCAGTGTTTTGCTTGTTTGTATGACTGAGCACATGTGCATGCCTGGTGCCTGTGGAAACCAGATCCCCTAGAACTGTAGTTAAAGATGGTTGTGAACTGCCACATGGGTGCTGGGAATCAAACCCAGGTCCTCTAGAAGAGCAGCTACTGTTCTTAGCCACAGAACCATCTCCAACTCTGGTGTTACATTTTATTGATTCTCCAAACCCAGTATAACATTTTATTAATTTTGTGATGCCATAGTACTACTGTGAAGGTCCAGTGGGAATCAGTTCTCTTCTTCCACCCTATGTGTCCCAGGCATCAAACTTAAGCCATCAGGCTTGCAGCAGTTACCTTTACCCACTGTGTGAAAACAGAACTGCATTCTGTTTACATTTACCACAATGGTATTTACTTATCCATTTCTCAATGTTCTTATGAAAAAAAAATGAGGAAATGAAAGTATTTTGCAATCTTGTCACATGTCTAACAATTTACATACTAATCTTTATAACCTTTCCCTTTGGTATGTATGTTGAGGCAGTAGACATGAGGTAGACGCAAGGCAGATATAAGGAGGTCTGAGGGTAGTTCCTTTCCTTACAGTGCTCTCAGTATCAAAGTAAAAAAAAAAAAAAACCACTGAGTGGTGGGCTCAAATAAAGCTGTTTAAGGAATGCATACCATCCTTTCAGGCTCAGAGTTTAACTCCATACAGTCAGCAACAGGGTTATTCCAGAGGCATTACGAGCATTTTGAACTAGATAATTCTTCAGGAGAAGAAAAGTCATTGAGTGCCAAGGCCTTGAAAACATCTTTGTCTTTAGCCATTACACACTAGCAGTGATTACTCTGCCCATCACCACATGCTCCATGAAGGGACAAGCAGAAATGTCCCATGCGTGATACTGACCTACATAAGCAGTGGAAGGCACTACAATGCATGGCCAAATATGCTATCTGGCAACGTAAGTTGCTGATGGACTCTTCAGGAACTGCCAGCCCAAAGGCACTGCCTTACTCAAGGTTTTGTTTCTTTAAGGCTAGCTAACCATGTCAAATAACTGGTTGATAGGGGAAAGCACAAAAGCCCATCCTCCTGTATTCTTTTTTTTTTTTTTCTGGTTTTCTGAGACAGGGTTTCTCTGTATAGCCCTGGCTGTCCTGGAACTCACTCTGTAGACCAGGCTGGCCTCGAACTCAGAAATTCGCCTGCCTCTGCCTCCTAAAGGCATGGGCTCAAAGGCATGCGCCACCACTGCCTCACCCTCCTGTACTCTTACTGGAGAGTTATTTCTAGCTCCTGACTTCCTCGTTGAAAAGTTAGCCACCTCTGTTGATATACCAAAGTTGAATTTTCCCCTCTATTCAATGCTTTGATCCTTTCTTTATAGGCAGTGTTCTCAAGAGCATTCCTGGAAGTTCCTTAGAAAATTGGAAACAGATCTACCTGAAGACACACCTATACTACTCTTAGGCATATACCCAAAAGACTCCCCACCATGCCACAGGTGTACATGTTCCACTATGTTCATAATGCCCTTATTTGTGATAGCCAGAAGCTGGAAAGAACCCAGATGTCCCACAATGGAAGAATCAATACAGAAAATGTGGTCCATTTATACTATAGAATACTAGTCAGCTATTAGCAATGACATCATGAGTTTTTCAGGCAAATGGATGGAACTAGAAAATATCATCCTGAGTGAGGTAACTCAAACCCAAAAGGACATGAATGGTATGTATTCACTAAGAAGCAGATACCAAACAAACAAACTAAACAAACAAAAAACCCCCACAAAACCAGAATATCCAGGTCATAATCCACAGAACTCAAGAAGGCTAACAAGCTGAAGTACCCAAGTGAGAATGCTTCAATCCTACTTAGGAGGGAGAAGAAAGCAATCATGGTGGGCAGAGGGAGGGCAGGACTTAGGAAGGAGAGAGGGAAGGGAGAAAAAAAGTGGAACAAAATAAGGTATTGGGGGGCAGGGAGAGAATAGGAGTGAAGGAAGTCCTGAGGGCCAGCAGAAAGAATGGAAACATGAAACCTCAGGAGGCAGGAGGTGGGGGAACCCTCTAGAATATGCCAGAAACCTGGGAGGTTAGAGACTCTCAGGACTCAAAGGGAAGGAACTTAGATGAAACTTCCAACAGTGGGGAGAGGGAACTTGTAGAGTCCACCTCCAGAAGAAAAAAAGGGCATCAAGTGGAGGGATGGGGTTGCCATCCCATAGTAAAAAACTCTGACTCAGAATTGTTCCTGTCTAAAAGAACTGCAAGGACAAAAATGGAGAAGAGACTGAGGAAAAGGAGGTCCAGTGACAGGCCACCTAGGGATCCAGCTCAAGGGGAGGCTCCAAGGCCTGACACTATTACTGATGTTTGGGGTGCTTACAGACAGGAGCCTAGCACCGCTGCTGTCTGAGAGAGGCCCAAGAAGCAGCTAAAAGAGTCAGATGCAGATACTTACACCCAACCAATGGTCTGAAGTTGGAGACCTCTATGGTTGAATTAGGGAAAAGCTGGAAGAAGCTGAGGAGGGTGAACCCATAGGAAGACCAGCAGTCTCTACTAACCTGGGTCCCTGAGATCTCTCAGACACTGAGCCACCAACCAGGCAGCATACACCAGCTGACATGAGGCCCCTGACACATAAACAGCAGAGGACTTCCTGGTTTGGTCTCAGTGAGAGAAGACACACCTTAACCCTGGAGAGACTTGAGGTTTAGGGAGTGGGGAGGTCTGGTGGGTTTGGGATATCCTCTTGGAGACAGGGGAGGAGGAATGGGATGAAGGGATGAGGAACTGTTGGAGGGCAGACTGGGAGGGAGATAACAACTGGATTATAAAAATAAAAAAAGATTAAATAATAATAATAATGTTATTTGACATCAGGGGCTGGAGAGATGGCTCAGCAGGTGAGACCACTTGCCTGAATTTGATTCCTGGTTCTCACAAGATAGCTCACGACTGTCTATAACTCTAGTTTCAGGAGCTCTTGACAACCCTATTCAGGCTTCTGCAGGTAAGACACTCATACATACAAAATGAAATGAAATGAAATAATCTTAAACAAAAACCTGGGACGGAAAGACGGCCAGCTGTTATTTACTGAAGATCCCAGTTCAGGTCCCAGCACCCATGACAGGTGGATCGCAACCACCCTGCCTGTAACTCAAGCTCCAAGGGAATCCCAGACCTCTGGCCTGTTTGGGTATTTATTCTCATTCTCTCTCAATTTTTTTTTGTCTATCCATCTGTCTGTCTGTCTGTCTGTCTGTCTGTCTCTCTCTGTCTTTCCTTCTCTCTCTTATACGTGACTTAAAAAAAGAACTCGGTGGCAATAAATCTGTCATAGAGCTTAAGAGAAAAGGACAGGGCCATGGTTTAAAATGGTCAATTACTGGGTAAATAGGAGTTTGAGACATACAATGAGTAGAAAGTAAAGCTAACAGTTCATTGTTTTTAAATTATCTTAAATTAAATTGAACATTATAAATCCAAACTAAGAGACTATCCAAATATTACTGATAGAGAGAATTTAAACTAGTAACAGTTAATTATTTCTGAGTAATTAGTATCAGATACACACACACACACACACACACACACACACACACACACACACACACAAACACAAACACACACAAACACACCACTGCCTGATCTCAACTGCTTTGTGAAGTAGGAATTAAGGTGTATTAATTAAATGGATCCCTATCTTCTCCACCCATGAATCTCTATAATGTAGAAGCACTACAATGTCAGAGGTTCCTGAAAATGACAAACTGTACACTTACTTGCATGAGATCCTGAAGGCTTTCAACAAAAGAAATCTCTGCTTCAACCATATAAAATTCAGCCAGGTGTCTCCGGCTCTGAGAATTCTCAGCTCGGAATGTTGGACCAAAGGTAAATACTTGGGTAAAAGCTCTGAAATTCAAGATTAAGAACACAAAAATAGAATACACATGGTTCATTATAAGTATTTAAAATACCCTCAGCTCTTAAGAAAAAAAAATGTTTTGCATCCACACGGAGCCCACAAGCCCACACATACTCACTGCTCTATTTCTCTAATGGGGATAATAATAGTTTCATTAAAAATGTTACATTTATAGAAACCATTTTATCCCAAAGGAATCTGCAACTGCTTTATAAACCCTATGGTTTTCTAAATATAGAAACATAACCACTCCTGGGTGCACTCTACTGCAGCTGCCTTTAACAGCAGGCAACTACATTTCAAAGCAATCAAGAACAAAGTAAAGGAAAAACAGCACAACCCAAGAAGCAGAACTGAGTTAATAACAATGAAAACTAGAATTTCATGTGGATAAGATTTGTTCAACTTATTTTTAAACACACAGAAAAGGATATCATTACTATATAACACCCTCAGTAGATATAGGTTATTAAATTAAAATCTCAGTACTAGGTAGGGCATGTCTATGAGCTGTTGATCAAAGAGGCCTAAGAGGCCCACAAAACAGAGTGTTCTTGGCTGTCCACCATAAGTAGTCTATAAGACCCTATTGACAAAGACATAGCACACCTCAGTTGCAACAACCCAGAAATCAAGCTGGAACTGACTTGAAAACGTCCAGCTAACTAGTTTTCATAGTACTAGATGGTGCTATGAAAGCCACTTTGAAAAAAAAAGAAGACATTAATGGTCTTACCCAGCACAGGATAGGACTGACTAATGGCACAACAGTGGTATGAAGGTTATGGGGGTAACCAACTGCTTTCTGATAGGCTCTCAGGCCTGCTCGTCAGGAATCAATTCATGCCTTATAAACCTGGCCAAAAGTCCATGGATTGGAAGGCCATAGGCCTCAAGGGAACCTATTATTATTGTTTTACTAAATACACATGTTACTAAATTACTTCCTAAGTATTTATGTTTATAGCCATTGATTAGTAGGGTTTTCTCAATCTTGTCAGAGACTTATAACTAGTCAAAGTCTTCACAATAAGTAACTGTTGAGTGCTCATTCTGAAATGGGACATCCATATCAACTTCAATCACAAGGCTCAGGGAATATCAAAGATGTGACAGAAAGAATTTAAGAGCAGGATGATAGAAAGGAATGCTGTAGAATGTTGTCTTCTGGACACGACATGACCATTGGACTCATGGACTCATTGCAGCTCTGGCCAAGACCAGCAGGCAACTCTAATTGGACTCACTGGGTTTTACACACACACACACACACACACACACACACACACACACACACACGAGAGAGAGAGAGAGAGAGAGAGAGAGAGAGAGAGAGACAGAGAGACAGAGACGGAGAGACATGAAGGTGGGAGGGGGACGTGTTGGGGGTATTCCTCAGAAGGGTGAGGTGAGAGTTGGATATGTGCAAGATACACACTGCATACACATATGGATACACTGTATACACATATGGATACACTGCATACACTGTATACACATATGGATACACTGTACACACATATGGATACACTG